AAAAAAAAAAAAAAACCTATCAAGAAATGAGTATAATTGTGATGGGTCGTTACTTAGTTCAGTGTAAGCCAGTGGTTCTCAACCTTCCTAATAGCTGCATTGTTACAAATGGGAAAAAGGGGTTGTGACCCACAGGTTGAGAACCGCTGATGTAAGCATTTCACATTGTATATCAGAGCAGTACACTGAACCCCATAAATGCATCAATGTACAGAGTTATGATTTAATGAAAAAAAAAAAGGGCCCTGGCCCCATCAAGGGAGGGGTTCTGGACTATTTGCAGGAGGAAGCAACAGGAAGGTGTGAAGGTGTGAAAGGCTTGGTAGCAGCAAGTCACCTGGCCCCACACACCCCACCCCATTCAGGTTCAGAAATAACTTGCAGCTTTTTCTCCTCTCACCCTCCTCCCTTTTTCTACCAAGAACCCTTTTGAGAGTTCACAGTATCAAAGTCAAGGAGCAGGTTAAGACCACATGCCCGTAGCAGACGGCTTGCAAGTCCAGGGGAACATTCACTCCCTCCTGAATCAACCCTAAAGATCACTTTTTTTTCCTTTTTAAATAGAATTTATTTTTTAGGGCTTGGCGCTCATAGCTCAATGATTTGGGCACGCCACATACACCAAGGCTGGCGGGTTCAAGCCCAGCCCTGGCCTGCTAAACAATAACAACTTCAACCAAAAGATAGCTGGGCGTTATGGCAGGGGCCTGTAGTCCCAGGTACTTGGGAGGCTGAGGCAAGAGAATCACTTAATACCAAGAGTTGGAGGTTGCTGTGAGCTGTGATGCCACTGTACTCTACCAAGGGCGACATAGTGAGACTGTGTCACAAAAAAAAAAAGGAATTTATTTAAAAATTTATTTATTTTTAAAAAAAGGAATTGATCTAAAGATCAATTTAGTGTTCACAGCAAAATTGAGCAGAAAGGACAGAGGGTTCCCATTTACCCCTTCCCTACCCCACTGTTGTCACCCCACACCATACTGGGGCATTAGTTACAGGTGACATGTCATTATCTCCCAGAGCTGACACTGGGGTTCATTCTCAATGTTACATACACATTTTATGGGTTTTGATGTTTTGATGAATGAATAATGGTGTGTATCCACCATTGTAATACCTTATAGGTTAGTTATGATCATAAAATTGAATCCACATAGTTATATCATGATTGCCTAGAATATCTGCTTTTTTTTTGAGACAGAGCCTCAAGCTGTCCCCCTGGGTAGAGTGCTGTGGCATCACAGCTCACAGCAACCTCCAACTCCTGGGCTCAAGCGAGTCTCCCGCCTCAGCCTCCCAAGTAGCTGGGACCACAGGCACCCGCCACAACGCCCAGCTGTTTTTTGGTTGCAGCCGTCATTGTTGTTTTGGCGGGCCCAGGCTGGATTCAAACCCACCACCTTTAGGTGTATGTGGCTGGCACCTTAGCCACTTGAGCCACAGGTGCTGAGCCAAAATTTTTTTTTCTTAAAGACTGGTCTTGCTCTGTCACCTCGGCTACAGTGCAATGGCATCATCATAGCTCACTGTAGCCTCAGACTCTTGGACTCAAGCGATGCCCCTTGAAAGGAGGAAGTGGGACTCAGCCTCCAGAGTGGGACTACAGAAACATGCCACCAGACCTGGCTAATTTTTTTTTTAAGAGCAGGAGGGTCTCACTACATTGCCCAGGCTGCTCATGAATTCCTGAGCTTAAGTGGTCCTCCCACCTCAGCCTCCCAAAGTGCTAAGATACAGATATTTAGCCAAATATCTGCATTTTTTTTTGAGACGGAGCCTCAAGCTATCCCCCTGGGTAGAGTGCCATGGCATCACGCTCACAGCCACCTCCAACTCCTGGGCTCAAGTGAGTCTCCTGCCTCAGCCTCCCAAGTAGCTGGGACTATAGGCGCCCGCCACAATGCCTGGCCATTTTTTGGTTGCAACCGTCATTGTTGTTTGGAGGGCCCGGGCTGGGGATTCGAACCCACCACCTTAGGTGTATGTGGCTGGTGCCTTAGCCGCTTGAGCCACAGGCGCTGAGCCAATATCTGCATTTTTAACAATCACCCCTGATGATGCAGGCAATGTAGGAACTACTCTTTGAGATGCCAGAATAGGTCTGAGAGGCATTCAGGGCTTCTGCAAGCATCCAGTCCAGGCCTCAGCAGGGTGACAGGGCCACACACAGGGAAGGCCCCTTAGGGCCAGGACTGAGTGAGGAGGGGCTGCCTGGGGCAGCTCCCCCCATTTGTGGGAAGCCACAGCTCTGTTGGCTTACAGGCAACTCTCCTTCTTTCCTGGGACACAGGAGTTCGAGATAGAGCTGGAAGGCTCGCAGACCCTGAGGCTCCTGTGCTACGAGAAGTGCTACAACAAGACGAAGATGAGCAAGGAGGACGGCGAGACCACAGACAGGCTCATGGGGAAGGGCCAGGTCCAGGTGAGGCTGCCCTCCCCTCCCACCTTCTGCCCTGGGGCCCTCGGGGACACTGGGCTAGCCTGGCACCGGCTGGGTGGGCACCTGAGACTCGAAACATTCACTGTGGGAGACTGGGCTGTTGCCTTCACACGTCCAGGCAGATTGCCTGTCTGTGACATCCTATCCTATCCCCAGCTTGTTTTTCCAGCTGGGGCCTGGGTTCCTCCAGGGCCTCAGGAGAGCCCAAAGCAGAGAGCTAGGTGGTGGCATGGGTAGAAATTGGCCATTCCTGGGCCACCTTTTCCTGCCCACTTGACCTCTACTTCCTGGAGTCTAGCCCCAGTTTGTAGGGTGTACAGCCATGTCCCTGAACAGGGCGTGCTCCTCTCCCAGGAGGCCCTCAGGTAGGCTGGAGAATGTATCCATAGGGACCAGCAAGTGTCCCCTGGTTCTCAAGTAGAAGTGCTGGAGCCCTGGGTCCTTGGGCGATTGTCCAGCCCTGGAGAGCTCAGCAGCAGTTGGCAGACAGGTGCTAGTTCCCCTGCCTGTGTTTCTTGTGGTCCTAGCTACACAGCTCCTCAGAGTGGCTGGGAAGGGCCCTGCGGTCATCTTTGTAAGGAGTCTCATTAGACACAGCTAAGCAGTGCCTCCCCCTCCCAGGACCTTCCATGGTCACCGGAAGTCTCCTGAGAGGAGTGGGTTTTGACTTTGAGGTACCCATGAGAGCATAGGACTCACCAAGAAGCCCCACCTCTGTCCCTAAAGGCAAGGAGACCTCTTGTGAAATACCAAGGAAGGGGAGGAAGAAGGTCATTTCCTTGAGTCATTTGTCATCTTTGCCAGGAGGGCCACATTCTCCTTACTCAGGTCAGCAGGTCCTTGCCAAGAGCGGGCTCTACCCCTGGCCGGCCAGTTCTCAGTGACACACTGCTGCCTGGTCTTCACATCAGGAGCATGTGAGGGACCCAGGTGGGCTGCCTGGGATGCCATTCTCTGTACCCTTGAGACCAGGTCTAAAAGCAAAAAGGCTCCTCAGTGTGCACCTAAAGTCCTAGCTGCTTAGGGAGCTCAGGCAGGAGGATCCTTCGAGCTTAGGAGTTGGAGACCAGCCTGAGTTAGCGAGATCCCTTTACTAAAAATAGAAACACTAGCAGGGTGTTGTGCACCTGTAGTCCCAGCTACTCTGGAGACTGAAACAAGAGGACTTGAGTCCAAGAAACTGAGGTTGCTATGAGCTATAATGGTACCAGGGCACTACCAGGGCGATAAGAGTAAGACTCTGTCTCAGAAAAAAATAAAAATGGGCTCGGCGCCTATAGCTCAACCGGCTAGGGCGCCAGCCACGTACACCTAAGGTGGCGGGTT